CTCAGGTCGGTCTCCCAATTGAGGGTCCTCGTGAAGGTGACCTCCAAGTAGGAAACCGAATCCCGGAGTATGAGGTTTTTCCCTAAAAGTCTGAGATTCAGGTTATCAGGATTCAATTCAGGACTGGTAGAGCTGTTAGGATGTCGGAATAGGATAGTTTGAGTTTCAGTGGGGTTTATTTTGATACGCCATTTGTTGCACCACTGCTCGAAATGGTCGATCATGTTTGGAGCTTGAATTTGCAAGCGACGGGTGTTGTGAGCGGAAGAGTAAAGGATAGTATCGTTGGCATATTGGAGGATTTTCTGGGTTGTGGGAACGTCGTGAGCATAGATGATGGAGGAAGCGAGGACTGAGCCCTGGGGGACTCCGGCTTTTGGAGTGAAAGGTGAGGATAAGGTTTCGCCGACTTTAACTCGGATTTTTCGGTTAGATAAGTAGGAAGCTACTAGTCGGATGAAATAATGAGGAAGACGAATTTGGATAAGCTTCCAGATCAGGCCCGCGTGCCCCTTGTCGAAAGCATTTTGAATATCGAGAGAGATTGCAATAGTGCAAAAGGATGCGTTGATGTTTTGGGATATGTGGGTATGTAGTTCGACTAGTGCGTTCTGAGTGGAGTGTTCGTTTCTGAAACCATGCTGGTGGGGAGGGATAATGCTATGAAGTATGAGGAAGTCGTTCAGACGGTTTATCTATAGTCGTTCCAGCAATTTGCCCAGACAGCTGAGGAGGCTGATAGGTATGTATGAGTCGAGATTAATGAGATCCTTGTGGGGTTTTGGGATTAAGATTGTGTTAGCCTGTTTCCAGGCTTTTGGGAAGTAGGCGTGTACAAGACAAGCATCAAGGATGTGTTTGAGGAGAGGAATAGCAGATTCGGGAAGGTTTTTCAATATTCGGCGGTTAACCGAGTCTCGGCCAGGAGCGGTATTTCTACCTCTGTGGTATTTCTACCTCCTCACTGAATGGGGATCCTAAGGGACAGTTGGCGTCGAGGGGAATTTGACCTGGGTGCCTACCCAGCTGTGCAGGCACTTGCTGGTGAATGCGGTTAAGAAAAGGGTTATCGAAAAGAGAGTCTTTAGCGAGACGGGAGGTGTGTTCGAGATTTTCGCGGATTTTCGGATTTTCTGCTTTGTCGGATGGGTTGGAAATGATGTTACCGTCAATCACTAGGTGACTGTCGGTTTTCCGTTTTTGTTCTGTGAGGACTTTGAATTTGTTCCAGAAAGCCGTTCCATCTCGGTAGTCGAGTTTTTTAGTCTCCTCCAGCCACCTTTTCTGGGTGAATTGGTTGATGAGGAGACGTATGCGAGCGTTGAGTCGATTCAACTCAGTTTTTAGGACTGGGTCTCTAGTTCGGACGAAAGTTCTGTAGAGTTTACGCTTGCTCTTGATGAGAGTTATGTGAAAAGGTGGAAGTGGGTTTGATCGATTCGTCTCGTTGTGGTCGGAGTGGATAAGTCATCTAAATCAGAAATAATTTTTGAATTGAGTCAATTTGTGCGTCAATTTGTCTGGGGTGGTCGAGTGGAGGATTGTCAAGAGAAGAGAGTTTTTTGTTGATGAGGAGATAGAATCGTTTGACGTCTGTAAATTTATGATTTTTGTAAGAAATGGTTTCAGGGGTTGACGGGATAGGAAAGTTTAGGAAAGTTTCGACGATAATGGGGAGGTGATCCGACGTAATAGTGTCACCGATATAGGCCAGATCATCAACCATCTCTATCAGGCTCTCAGAAAACAGGATATGGTCGGTGATAGAAGCCCCGCGGTGGCTCAGATACGTCGGGTCGGGGCAGGGAATTCTGTAGAGATTGTATTCGAGAAGGAGATTGGCTAGAAGACGGCCGTTGGCATTGGAGGTAGAATCTCCGAATTGGGTATGTCGGGAGTTGAAATCTCCCGAAATCTGAAATGTATATTCGATTAGTTCTCTGGAAACAGATTGAGTTGGATGATTGTAGTAGGCTATGATAGTTATGTTGCCGGAGTTCGAAAGTAGGTCGATCGCCAGGCAGTCGAGTTCCGATAGTATATGTGGAAAGTTGTGTTTTTGTAGGTTAGTCCCCGTTTGGATAGAATAGCGATGCCTCGGGAATGTTGGTTTTTGGTCGGTGGGTTGTGTTGAAACCGGAGAAGTTGGGAGGGTTTTTGGTTAGGGTGTCGGTGATACAAAGGATTTGGATTCCTTGGATTGAAGGAGAGTTTTGGTATGATATCTTTTTCTACTTAAGTCCTGGGCGTTTACAGTACCGATGATTAAACGCCCATTATTCCGTACCGTTGGTCAATTAGCCATTAAGTTCAGCTGCCAAATCGGTGAACGTGAAGTCCACTTCGTTGCCACTAGCCGTGGCGAAGAGAAAGTGTCCTAGGATTATCTTGCATAGTTCATTAGTGAGAGCTAGAATTTCAGTTCTCATGGCAGGCATGAGATTGAGGAGGAGAGTTTTTTGGATTTTGATTACAGCTTTGAATTGCTGTGTGACGGGTGTGATAGTATTGGGAGTTTCGACTTTTATAGGAGCAACCTCTTGGGGGTTCTCTGGGACTTTAACCATTTTGGAACAATTAAGTGAGAAGGCGGGATGGTCGCCTTCACAGTTAAGACGTTTTGGGTTGGATGTTTTCGTGCATTTCATAGGAGGATGTGCCTCACCGCAGTTAGGACACTTCGTTTTGTGTGTGGGACATTCCGCTGCCGAATGTCTCGTTTCACTGCATATGTTACAGTATTTTGGGATGGGGGTAGAGGGTTGATATTTGAGGCCTCGCACTCATGGGTTCGGCCATGAATATTGACTCCGTGAGTCAAACAGCGTGTAAACTGTTCCTTATTCGCGGTAATGACGCGAATAAGGGTTATAGGTTTGCATGTTTTTTGGAGGTTATCTTCCAAATTTTTATTACTTGAAGCGGCTTCTAAGAAGCCGCTGATTTCTCCGGTCGAGAAATCAAGGTGAACACCCTTGATTACAAATGACAGATGTGGCTCTTTGGGAACTGAAGGTTGTGGGTTTCTTGGTCTGAGATCTATGACTTTGATAGAAGTGTGACGGTCACGAAGGAGTTTCTGGAGTTGTTCGGAACTTTCTTTTTCAAATCGGCTTTCAAACCCCTGTTGGGTGAGTAGAATAGCTCTGAGCTAGACTTCGCCAACACTTTCATTTCATTTGTATATCATATGTCATTTAATACAATAAAGACGTTTATTATCATTATTATTAATATTATTATTTGGTATTGTTTGAAGTTTTTAATAAGGCTGTTCGGTTGAAATTAACCTTGAGCTCCGTCATCTGGCCACGGAGGAATTCATTGGAGTTCAGAAGATTGAATAATGCCCTTTGACTAGCTAAGTCATCGGGGATTTCTCTGATGTTGAAGATGTTTGTTAGATTTGGCAGCTGAACGAACGTGAATGTTAGAGGGGGGGTCTCAGCAGGTTCATGCTCGGGAGACGAGCCGGAAAAGGAAGGGGAGAGATTTTTAAAAGGAATTTGGTTACGTTTAGTTTGGCGAGTTTGTCTCGCCATTGTTTAAAAAGAAGTATACACGACTTTATGTAGTTTCCAAAGTTGTTGGTCGGTTCTAATATTAGCAGCACCTCCAGGTGCTACCTCTGGCACTTAGCTTCACCTTCGTCTTTTGGATTAGGCTCTGTTGCCTCTATCGGAAGAGTGTGATTAAATTAATGAGGGACTCTTCACGCCGGTAGACAATTTGAGATTATCCTATGGGTTCAGGTACACACACTTTGCACTATCACCATCACTTTAGCACGACCTTCACTCGATGAAAGCTAACACTGGAATGATCTTATGGGAAAATTCAGTACATATGAATAAAGTCTTCATCATGCAAAAGAAAATAATTAGATGTATGGCTGGTGTAGCTCGTGGAACCTCTTGTAGAAACATATTCAAACAACTCTCAATTTTAACAGTCCCTTCACTTTACATCATTCTGATCATCATCAATGTCAAAAAAGAAGAAAATAACCTGAGTAAAAGATGTGATTTATACAAATATAATACGAGGAATAGTGAGATCATCCACCAGCCATTCTTAAGATGGAGCATTGGTTAGGATTCTCATATATACCGAGAAATCAGGTGTTATAACCGACTTATAAATATATTCCCGCACTTGAACTCAGCGAGTGCAAATATGTTGAAGGATAATCTGACTCATTATCTAATAAATTAAACCTTTTTCTCCATTGAAGAGTTTACAGACGCTACATCGTAGATAATTTCAATCCAATCATATGTGTATTTCTCATACATTGAAGAGCTTTCAGATGCCATATTGTAGAGAGTTTTAATCTAATTGTATGTATATTTTTTTATATTTTAAATTGTATATTTCTGAATTTTCTTTATTGCCTAGTGACTAGTCCGATAAGTTTTTGCATGTATTTATGTATTCTCTTGTATATATATGTAAATTCTTCAGTGATGAATGAATGAATAATATTCTAATTCTAATCATTATGCTTATCATTATCAACTCACTCATACAACTGTTAAATCCAAAATGGCTGAAACTTTGATGAATATCTGTCAACAGATGAACAACGAAACTCACCAGCTTTCATTTACGAATGCTTCTCTCTTCATGTTGAAGTCGAGAACTTTACAGACCACTCTCGTACATATAGATAAATCTATGTTTTCCACTCTAATTTGTTCATTGAATATTTTTATTCTGTTTTTTCATTTGTTTATTCTGATATTTTTTCCCTCAGTCGTGACCAATCACATTTTTCACTCAATAAAGAATATTAACCCGGTAAAAACTGTTACATTTTCAGCCATAAATGATCATAAAACATCGCCTTTTTTCATCAATCCGTCCCCTTTCATCGCCACTACAGTGGAACGACTGAAAGTAAAAATCATGACACAAATATACAAATGTAATCAGCCAACCTACCGCCCTTAAATTAACCGCAAAACAGGGGTAAGGCAATTCGTTCTGTTCTGTTTCAGCCCCGCTATCTTTTAACGTCGCTGGCGAGTAACGACTTCGCTATGGGATTATTTGTGACTCCTTTCGCTATCGTCCCCTCCTTACGACATTGCTGGCCGTACGGGGAGCTTGTCTGTCAGATACAGGTAAGTTGATTGAAAAGTTAATAGTTTCTCAATCGGTGTTGTTCTGAGTGGTTAGATAACAACAAATAGTCTGAAAATTATTCTGCTCCAGATAAAAAAATAAAGAAAATTGGAATATTTTTTGTGTCATATTTACAAATATTAATAATATTGATTAATTAAGAACTTAAATTATTTGGTTTTTCATCTCAGTAAAGTATGTGTATGCTCCGAAATGATGTAGTTGAACTTGGAGCGAATATTAAAAATGCATGGTGGTAATGATGGATCCACCTTCTAAAAATGTCTGACGGAACAGTTTCTCCATATAGTGTAAGGGTGTATAACAACTTTCACGTATGAGACCATCATTATTATAAATGACTAAAATACCCAGAAATGGCAATTGACAAGGTGGGTGAAGGTTATAGGTGAAGTGGAGATATATTTAAATAATGTTCTCCACGATAGTACAGGATACAGTCCTAATCAACTCCATTTTGGAACCATGAGAATAAGCCCTTTTCTTAAAGATGTTCCCAGTCCTGTACCGAATTTTCCTGACGTAAGTAAAGATCAAATGATGTTTCTGGCCCACGAGCGTTTAGTTATAAAGGCCCAAAAGCGAAAAATTCGACACGACAAGGGAAAAAGGTTAATCGAATTCGATGTTGGGGATAAGGTGTTGGTTCGTACCCACCCTCAATCTGATGCTGAATGCAAGGTAATAAAGGAATGTTTCCTTCTGTATAAGGGACCTTGTACCGTGACGTCGAAAAAGGGGCCCAACTCATATGAGTTGATGAATGATGAGGATGGATCTTCTGTAGGTGTGCATAATGTTTATAACTTGAAATGCTATGCACCACCCTTGCGTTCTTTCTAGTACCAAAATCAACAGGGGGGTAATGTAGAACGCCGCCCCTGTCTAATTAAGTAACAGTTGTTTCGCGCAGTGTTTGTTGATGTAATACCTAGCAATGTCAGTATTTTGAAACGTAGAATCATCTGCATGAAATCCACAAAATTCATCGGCGACTTTCGAAAAAAAAAATATCGCTTTAAGAAAAAAATAAACAAATAAATCTATTTCAGTCATGAAGGAAATAACAGTTAAAAATTTATCGGCTAACTAGCGAGAAGGAGAAAATGTTTATGTAAGAACACTTGTGGGTCATATATTATTATTTCAAATACGGGACCTCTGGACGGAAATCTTGGATAAGATAAACAGCCTAGGTCATAAAGACTTGTAGAGTGGAACAATTTCGTGGGAAGTCGGAATTCTGAGACTTGAAACCGAGCTTAGCGTCCATTAAAAAAAAGGGGGGGTTATGGGTTAATTAATCATGATCTCGACTAATTGAAGTTGACCCCGAGAGAAAGAGAGCCTCCCGGAATTGGTCGAGGGAGGTGACGAAGATTTTGGAACAGGGAAACGAATCTTGAAAAAGTGGCCGACGAGAGAGGCAGAGGGAAAAGAAAAGTCGTGGACGGAAGTCTTTAAGCGTAGGGGAGCGAGGGGATAGAGCGGAAAGAACGCGCTGTCGAGCGTCTTATTTGAGCGATAATAAGTAATGTTTTAAAGATTTGAGAAATAGCGCGATTTATAGGGGTTTATTAGGGAAATGAAGAAGTGTTAATCTGAGCGTATGAGCGTATATCTGGCGGATTTATAGTGAAATTTCGGAATAATAATTTTGTCTACCGTGGCCGGTAAAGCGAGTGAATTCTCTCCGTGAAGTGAAGTTTTTTCACGACATTGAATAACGGATTACTACGTCCACTCGAGATCGAAACCTTTGGATTAGCCGAGGAAAAATTTGGGAAATAGTCGTTGGTGATTTTTTATGTACTTGTCTGAATAACATTTGTATGAATTTTGGGAAGGAGTTAGCCAAAAAGTAGTATACAGAGTGTAGCAAATGTTTTTTGTGTGTTTTGATTCTTTTAAAGTTTCAAGCCAGTATTAAAATATCATAGGCTGGTCGAGCTGAGTATTACAATCACTCTCCGTATACGATAGCATAATCGGCGAAGGCATGCAAAAAGAGATGTTGACGTTAGGACGTAAAAACTAGTAGTACCTTCAGTACACGGTTTAGTTTTTTTTAATTGCTTAGTGTCTTTGTTGTTCCTCAGTTTCTATTTTTTTATTATTCAATATAATATTTTATTTACGAAGTCGAGTTTTCTTTCAAAACTCCAACTTCCTAACCTCCTAGAAAAGCTGCGAACTCTCAAAATTCTAAGAAAAATCTACTTAAGACCTTTTATTCGTGCAAAAGGCCGAATTCATGTTTCCTTTCGGACATAGCCTATTAATCCAAGAAAAAAATTTTATGTGAAGTTAGTACTTCACAGAGTCCAAGAAAAAGAAACCTAAATTTTACATTGTCACCACGAGAATATTTCGCAGAGGTGACGGGAGGAAGAGGAAGAGACAATAAAGTCAGTCGGGAGAGCGACGAACTGGAGAATGGTTGATGCTCGAAGAGAATTTGAAATAAAAAAAGTTCCGACAAATGAATGTTTGCATATCCAGGTTTTATATCCACCAATTGATTGTTGAACGTTAATTTTGTGTTAGCTGATTATTCGTTCCTCTACGTGTAGTAGATTCAGACAGATTTCTACCTGAAAGGTGTTGGCTGCTGTCTCAATTTTGAACCTTGTGTGGTACCGGACAACGGTGAGTGATAATCGAATATAGTGGGCCCAGACTTTTATGAATTGATTCCTTGTTTGTCAGTGTACCGTTTAAGTTTTATTAGTTCATTTTGTCAAGGCTATTGCTGTCCTCGTCGACGGAAGAATTTATTATATTTTCATACTGAACCGACAATCTCTGATTTGTAACCCGACCCTATTAATTAAATCAAACAATTCATCTCTTGTTGAAGAGTGTAGAAACGTTTCACTCAACGATTTCATATAACTTATCCTCTACTTTTGTTGGAAACACTGTTTAAAAGAACCCCAATCAATCGGTGTCATCGGCAGTTTTCGTTGTCGAAACAGATTCATTCAATGCCTAATGGCATCCAATGAAATGTTTGGCATTTTAATGGAGTTGAAAATAGTTTCGGACGTAAAACGCGAGCGATCGCGTGTGTAGCCAATACTTATAACCCCACATCCCACATTGCCGACCTGCTTCGTCCTTTTCGTGTTGGCCGTATTTCTGCTAAGTGCTCTGTTGGTATACATCAGTGTCAAACTGTCAACCACTCTCAACTCACTAACCACAAGCATATGTGTACATGAGCGAATTTCATTGGAAGGACAAATTCAAGACGTCTGGCTACTGTTAAATTTCTGGATTGATTGAGTTAGTTCCACGATTTTGAATTATTACTTGTGTTCGTACGGGGGTACGGCTATAATGCAGGCAAGGATTGGAAACTCAATTATTTGAAATCGTTGGAATTCATGAACATAAGCATTGCGGATGTAACCTACTGAATAACCAAATTGACCTGGTCTGCTCGCCGATTTTCAGATTAGCGTACCCACATTGTCACAGATAAACAAATTAGCGTACCCACATTGTCACAGATAAACAAAATACAGACAAAAAAGTCATTAAGTACCTTCTGTTATTAGCGGCAGTGGTTGTATAGGTATATGTATGAGGATGTATGATGACGAAACTGCAGTAAAGTTAGTTACAAATACAAGTGGTATGAAAAAATTGAAAGTTTCAATTCTCTTTTTTCATCATGATCACCAACCATGTAGCATCGGCTACATCTATTGAATTAGTTACGTGATTCCTTTCAAAACAATAGCCTTTGAAGATGATTTCGTTCGCATCAACAACGGAGTATAATGAATTCACAGACATTGACACAGATCCTGTGGGTACATCTGATAAAAAAGTAGTCTAGAATACTTTTGAATCCATTGATTCTCAAGCACTTCAACAGATTGAGTCTCAAAGCATTCTCTTTCCAATATAACAAGTCACAGTTGTCACTTACATCAGAAGATGTTTGTAAATATGAAACTGGTCTTCACATTCAAGAAACTACTTTTTTTAGAGCAAAATACAAGCACTACAGTACTCAGAGCGCTGTGAGAATGATACCTGTATGGAAGTAGCGATTCACATTGGATTTGAATCGCTGAAGATTTAATTCCTTCGGAAAAACGTTGATTCCACATGAATGTAGTTCCCCAAATGAAAGAGTTCTTGAGCACTGAAGTTGGAGTTATACTGAGTTGAACCTCAAAACGATGAGCAGATACAGTACGTCTCGTATTTCTGATATGTACCGCTCTTGATGAAATCAAATGTGATTAAACACTACCCGTGAAAGTATTTATAGAAGAGAGACAAATCTCCAACCTATCTTCGATGTTCTAGACTATCAAGGTTACAAATGGTGTTTGCGTCTTCAATCAGGCGGATGGCTCTTTTCTGGGTGGAATCGAGCAGCTTCAGGATATGCTTAGGGGCGAAGCACCATACCTGAGAACAATACTCCAAAGAAGGTCTGATCTGAGTTTTATGAAGCATCAACATTTTCTAAGGTGTGTACAGTTTTCTGGTTCGGAAAAGTGTGCCAAGCTTTTGAGTAGCGTCTTTTGCAATTACATCGACATGACTGTGCCACTACATATTGGTGTCCATTTCAACCCCCAAACAAACTTATCGAAGCAGAAAGTGTAATTTTCTGACCTGACATTGATATATCCGGTTCGTAGACATTTATCTTCTTGGAGAAAACTGATGCATGGGTTTTTGTGACATTGAATCAAACCTGGTTACTTTCAGCACAATTCTAAATCATTTCTGAATCCTCATTAGGATGTGCAACATTCTGCTGCCGATAAAGATGTGCATCCGCTGCCGATGTCCTGGAATCCAAATGGAATGACGAAACAAGTGTGCTTTCTTCAGCAAAGCAATATATTGTATTCTTGTTTTTTCCCAATAAGTCGTTGATATACAATAGAAATAGGGTTGGAAACAATATAGATCCCTGGGGAACATCAGCGTTGATCGTAAAAGTATT